TCTTTCTTTCTTTCTTTCTTTCTTTCTTTCTTTCTTTCTTTCTTTCTCCCCCCACACATGTTTTATTTATTTTATTTGTATAACATAAAAACTCTATTTCAATTAAACAGTGGGTTGTCTGGGTAGAATTGTTTTTAGACAATCTTAATCAAAATGTTTATAATAGCATTCGTCACAATAACAGTAACACAACAACAATAACAATAATAACAACAACAACAACAACATTTGGCTTGTCTATTATAACCAATTTCCACTTTAAGATTTATCTCTTTTATGTGCCTACATTTCTAACTTCTGCTTTTATTGACTAACTATTGATAAAATGGGTCCCATGTCGAAGAATATTCAGTTTCTTCTTTGCCCTTAATCGTGTTACTCTATCCATTTCTGCACATTCTAATATTTTCTTAATTACATTTTCAAGTACAGAAAGGCTGAGGTGGGGAAGAACATTTAAACTTTCTAAAATTTCTGGAAAGGAAGTTAAAAAAACGAACGTTTCCAAGACGCAAAATCTCATTATTCATTCAGTTAAGCAAATACAGTTGCCATTCTCTTTGAGTCCTTTTGCTTCTTTCTTGCTTAAAAAACCAGTTCCTTTATTTTTTAGAAAGAAGACAAAAAAACAACAACCCTAAACCCAGTCGTTAGAAATAAGAAAAAAGACAGAAATAAGAATAAAGAGAAAAGGAAAAAGGGAGTTTTTTCAGTGTATACCACTGTGATAGCCCTTTTATCTATTCTTCTGATATTAACCACACACTCCCAAGTCTAATAGGGATGATTTATTCTCCTCTACCTCTTGGAAGAGAAATCTTTGGCTCCAGATCCTTCCTCCCATTTTACCTTAGAAAATGGAAAAGAGTAACAGCGAAGAAATTAAGTTTACCTTGGGCGGTGGATTCGCACAGAAGGATCTGGAGAAAAACTGGACGAAACAAGAGGTGAGCCAACCAATTTAAGATGGGAACAAGGGAAAGCGAAGAGGGCCAAGAGAAGCGATACACTTCCATCCCTTCCTCCCAGTGGTGGCCTCCGTTCTCCAGGAACTGGTCCATGGGTAGAGCTGGAATCTTCTCAGCACCACCGCTGCTCTGCTTCTGAACTGGGGATGACAAGGAGAAAAGGGTATAAAAATCAGGGACTTACCATTCAAAGGTAGCTAGCCCAGGAACACAGACTTCTTGCTATCTCTCACCTTCCTGAAAAATAAAAAGATCCAGCTTTCAAGCAGTTGTCCGTATCCTTGCGCCGGAGCTCTCCCAGCGGGAAAATCGAATCCTCAGAAGAAAGGCATTTTGACAGCCTTTCAACAAGGCCCAGCGAGGTGAACCCAGCTCACTGCTCCAGCTCTGAGGCCTCCGTGACCACAGCAAACCTTTTCTGCAGTCTCACAAGGGCATCTCACCCCCTCCGGTCCTAGGCGTGCCATTGTCAAGTCCTCTGTGCAACCACAGAACTTAAAAGAGGAGCCAGAAATAGTATAATTGGCCTGGAACCGACAACACTCTGAAGAAAAGGCCAAGTTTCCTTTAAGCCCCTCCTTTACGTCCAATTCGGAAGCTCCTTCCCATCCAGCTCCACCAGTCCATAGTGTAGCATCTCTGCTGCATCTTCAAAGTTAGCCAGCAGGATTCACAGAGTGGCTCCGAAACTCAACCACTATTAAACTGCTACAGAAGGTCATCAGAAGTAGCTGAACATGCAGAGGAAAAGATGTCTAACTGCTCATCCCCAGAAGGGATAAGCACAAGGCCCATCATCTCTTCCAAATGTTCTCAGCCAAAAAGACAGAGAGGAGAGGATGAATTCAGGAGGTCCCGTGTCAGAACTCTAATTATTTCATTTTATCGCTGCTATTTCTGTGCTGCCTCAGCCAGAGAAGTCTACGCAGCTTAAAATTCCTGAAGCAAAGCAACCCTACGCTACTGACAAAACCAATAAAATTGACAGTTGACAAAATTAGCCTTTTCTCCTCTTGCTTTCTTTTGGATCCTTATTGGCAATTCCAACCGGATGATAAAAAACAATACGAGATGAATGATACTCAGCTAGGAGATAAATCAGTCATTGAAATCCACTTCTCCTAAAAGGCAGACTTGGCTATTGGCCGGCCGATGGGCTGACCTGAGAGTTTCTTCCTTGGGAGAAAATGAGATACTCTTGGAGTGTTTAACGGCGAGACTCCAGCTTCTCATTCCAAATTTACTTAGGCTAGGATCCAACTCTCCATGTCTTTTAAAGATGCGAGATCTCGACTCCCGGTGACCATTTTAAAAATTTAAGTTTATTTGACAATAGTATGAACACTATTGGCCCTTATCTTCATCCCAGATGATTTTCTCAAGTCTCAGAGGTTCTGGATTTCTTGAAGAAACCAGGAGGAGGAAGAAGATACTTTAGGAAGCATCCAGGCCTCTTGAAGCTTTTGTTTCCGAGACCGGCCAAAATCCACGTCTGCCGTTTTCCAGACGTGGAGAGGATTTTTCACGCCAAAGATTAAAACATTGTCCAGCTGGAGTGGAAGCAGATATGATTAAGTCCCATAAGTGACCACTGGAAAACGTCCCCACAAGAAGGGCAATGCCTATAGGCAGATATTTACTCTTCTGAGCATTTATAGAGGCTCTACTCAGCTGAAGCCAAAAGTCAACCAGCTCATTCCCTGAGAGATATTTGGGAGCCCCCAGGAACTGATTATTACACTTAAAAAATATTTGTATGGTTTATAGAGCACTCTTCTCCCCTTTCGATTTATTTTTAAGGCTGGGGAAAGGAAAAAGTGAGAGGTATTTAGGAATTTTGAGGGGAGGGGAGACCAATTTCATGATGGAACAATCATAGGGATTCTCCCACATTTTTGTGTCTTCTTCTGTCCTCAAAGCCCGCCTTTTTTCTCTTTTCCTTAATTTCTTCCAATCTTGGGGTCTCTTAGTCATCACCATTTATGCCTAGAATTCCCAATTGTGTCCACCTTCTCACCTTTCACATTTGGGGACCGTCATTAGATGGTTCTGGCCCCTTGAGATCACCATCCGTTTCTTGGTTTCCTTCAGCCAAAATTCAACATGTCATCTCTGCTTCCCTTTCCCTCTGAAATACCTCTCAAACATCGGGCTTTCCAGCACAAAAGGCCTCTCCTTCTTGATGTCCAGGTTGGTTGGAATAGACCTTCATCTGAGGAGGGGAATAGTCCCAAAAGATCAGGGAGTGAAGAAGTCTTGGATGGACCTTCACCAAAGCCAATAGCTGGAAGACCGTGAGGCCATCAGAGATGCTACTTAGAGGGCACTGATAAATCTAAATGGCTCTTTCAGATAAATACAAAATACGATGCTTTAGACACAGCTAATATGTTTAAGAGCTGTTTTATTGGAACCTACTGCTCTTTGATGATTTTGCCAGTTTAAATGTGTCTTTTTAATGCTGTATTATTATTATTATTTGCATGGGTTTATGGCTCCATTTTGGAAATGCATGGCTTAGGACAAGGTTACGGAACTAATGAAGTCTGATACACAGGCATTGAGGTCTTGCAAAAAGCAGAATCTCTTGGCTTCGTGCCATTCACCACCTCTTACCTCACGGATGGGTATTTTTATTTTAAATTCTCATTGGGTGAAAGAGAGACCAGGAAGTTGTGGACAGTGAGCTGCTTTGCAGAGAAAGGCTTTGGTGAGGTGAAGAAGGTCAGGAAGCTGAGCCGAGTCCTGGGCTGGATGGATGACGCAGTTCCTCCCTTGGTCATCGCATTGGGGGAACTGACTCAAGAGAAGCTGCAGCTCTGAATCTCTCCGGGGAAAGAAGAAGAGGGAGGCAGAACCCAAGGCCAGCTTCCCCGGAATCCTGAAGACAAGATGGAGACTTTCCCTTGGATGATAGGTTTGGGACCACCTCCTCCTCCTCCTCCTCCTCCTCCTCCTCCTCCTCCTCCTCCTCCTTCTTCTTCTTCTTCTTCTGCTTCCCACCTCAATCTGACCCTTTTCCTGTCCGAAGAGATGATTGCTTTACTCCCAGGTACTTTCCTTATTCTACGTCTTTCTCAGCAAACAAGAACTTTCTTGTGTTTCTTTGCTTGGCACGTTTTGAACAACAGTGCCACTTACCTGCCTCCCCACAATAGCGTCCCCAGTTCTCTTGATTTGTGGCCATCACAGTGAAAGGGCTTTTGGGGGAATGCCCAGCGGTCTCTCTTCCTCCCATCAGAAACACGCAGAAGACCCGAAACTGCAGCTTCAAAGTCAATTAAGGAGATAGGAAGTTGGAGTAGTGGATGAGGAAAGAAAGTGGTCACTCTGTGGGTCACAATGACGGGCACCGAGAATAAGGAGCCTCCCTTTTCTCCTTCCAGCTCCTCTCAAACGACCGAGAACTGAAAACATCAGAAGAGCTGAATTTCAGAGTGAAAATACTCCCAGGTCCCTGATAGTCTTCTTTTTTGTTCTTCGAGCTAATGCCAGACATAATAAGGATGGTCTGGGGACTCTCATGACCCCCAAAGGCCAGAACATGGGTGGAAGAAGAAGACCCCTTTCCTTCATCTCATCTGCTGCATCCATTCAGAGAAGAAGATTCAGTTGAGGAGGGTGGGGATGAAAGTTTTGCAGAGCCTTAAATCATCTGTCCTTCTCTTAACTTCACCTTCCCTCTTTCTCTCTTTCAGTTCTTTCAAAGATCCTCCTAGGAGCAGGTAAGAAACCCTCATTTGGACTTTATTTGTGTTCCCAAAAGTGTAGACTGCGATTGTTCCATCTGGATGGTTTTCTTGCATTACCCGGTCCCATCCTGAATGCTGTTCTTGAGGCAGGCCAGCTTGCTGTGCCAGCTCGGATCTGATTCTGCAGTGCAAGAAAACCAAGCTTCAACCCTCAGGTGGTTTCCAAGCTTCCACCGGTTCAAAGGGTCACTGGAGGCTGCTCTCAGTGAATCCAGCAGGAAGACGTCTGACTTTGAGGAAGAAGGGGAGCTGAGCCACAGGGTTGTTCTCACCTGGAGAAGAGAGAATCGATCGGTCAAGGCCCCCCGGAGCAGTTTATAGAGGGGGGCCCTTGTGGGAATTGGGGTGGATGTTCTGGTGTAGAGATTTGGTTCCAGGGAGAGATGAGAAGGAAGGACTCAATGGCCTCTCTTTCTTTTCTTTGGTTCATGGACAGATTCATCTCTTCGGGCCCCCAACCTGTCCTCGTCTCTTCCCCACACCGTCATTATCAAAGGAGAAGAAATCCCTTTGAATTGCTCTCTCCCTGAGGGATCTTCTGCAGAATTGTTCTCTTTCCACTGCATGGATCAATCAGGCATACCAATCAAACATGAAGATCTCCATAAAAATATCTACATTCTGAAGACTGCGGATGTGTATTCGGACCTAACAAAGATAGTATGTACATGCATGTTCTGGGGAATATCTGGAGGAAGCCAGTTTTCTCCCAGCAGTAACCAGCTGCTCTTCTCAATCATTGGTAAGGTGAATATTTATTGCAGAGAAATACTTACATCAAAGGCAGCGCCAATGCTTAACCTATGAAAATATACATTAAACCATTCAAAAATTAAGCCAATGAACAAAAAAGCAAAGAAGAACATTCATACTTTTAGAAATAATGCCTTCTGTAAGAAAATGGTTAGGTGGACCTTCTATTTAATGGGGAAAAGATCTTCCTGATGTATTATTATGGTGGTGAGAATATTGTGAGAGCAGTTACAGAAACAAGGATGACTTCTCCACTCCCACACTTCATAGCTATGGACCTATCTTCTGTGCTGCATATTACAGAAGTTTGCATTTTTTTTATTTGAAGATTTGAACAGTTTTTAAAAAGTCAGGTGATGGACAGATATTCTGAGATGATTGTTGTTGAAGTAATTCCCCGTTAGGAGAATGAGCGCACACAGGGAGACGTAGTGAGAGTGGTGAAGAATAACACACAACCAGCACACAGATACACTGTATAGTAAAATGTAGGTGTTTACTTCCAGTAAATGGTTAAGCAAAGTCCAACAAACAGTCCAAGTCATACGCAGTTATAGGCAGTCAGTTTTCAGTCCGGGGATAATCCAATAACAAAATCCAGTACCATAAACAGTTCAGTAAAAGACTCACATCAATCCAAGAATAATGATGATCAGCAACAATCAATAGGGAAATGCAAGAACCAAAAACAGGAACCATCAGAACATCTAGCAACAAGCAACTAACAACACTCTCTGGGAAACCAGGTTTCTGGCTCCATCATATGGCCGCTTGAGGAACCACACCCAATTACATTTAGCATTCCCTTAAAGAGACAGTATTAAAATGTCTATCCTGGTTTATATATTTCCAACCGAACTGTTAGGTGACTTACATTCCTAACGATTTTCACTTATTACTCATGACAGTCATGTGATTTGTGACTTCTTTTTAAGTGGGGCAAGGTGTGTTTTATCTTTGTATTTCTGTGGTCTTCTGATTCCCACCAATCATTTCATTGGGTCAAAAGTAGGAATCAGTTATGACTGGATCCACCAGGAAGGCCCTGACTTTGGGGGAGAAAGAGACGAAATGCATTTAGTTAGCTTTTGGTGATTTGCACACTTTGTGAGAGGATGGTGGCTACAAAGGGGGAGAGGGTATGATGGACTACTGTGAAGCAGCATTTTCCCAGGAAAGAGGGAGTACACTTGAAGGTTGTGTGCGTGTGTTTATGAAAAAAATACAGTGTAGACCGGAGATGAAGAAGAAGTGACTTAGGATAGCAACTCCCTAGAATCTCCCACGGTAGATCCAGAGTGAGTGAGTTTAGTTTGGCAAGATTCTGTCTATTCGGCTGTTTGCAGGAATCCATTCTTATAACAGAATAACGGAGTTGGAAGAGACCTTGGAGGTCTCCTATTCCAACCCTATCTCATTTCTGACAAGTGGCTGTGAGGTCTCTTCTTGAAAATCTCCAATGTTGGAGCACCCAAACCTTTGAAGGCAAGCCGTTCCACGAATTAATTGTTCTCATTGTTAAGACATTTCTCCTTAGTTCCAGGTTAGTTCTCTCTTTTATTAGTTTCCCTCCGTTGCTTCTTGTTCTGCCTTCTGGCGCTTTGGAGAATAGGTGACACCCTCTTTGTTGTGCATCCCCTTAGATATCGGAAGACTGTATCATGTCATCCAAGTCCTTCTCCTCATTAATCTGGACATTCCTGCAACTGTTTTTTTGTATGTTTTATCCTCCAATATTGCAAATGTAGTCTTACCAAGGCATTATATAGTGGTATTAACACATAATATGATCGGGATCATCTTCACCAAGGACACCCATACCCATATTCCACAATTCTGTCCTAGGCCTCCTTATTCACATCGAAGTTTTCTCTCTCTGCCACAGTTCATGCACCTCCCTCCTGATCCCTCCTGTGCAGAAAACACGTTTTTTAAAAGAGATAAAACCATTCAATGAGGCCAAAGGTAAGAAAGCAAACTGTCAGGCCCAACCTAAGAATGACATAGAACCAACCAACCTAATAGAGGGATAATTATTTTTACCAAAAATGAAACTGTCACAAACAACGCTGGCTCCTGTGGTTTTCTGGTCGCTGTATAGCAAGAGAGAGAGAGAAGTGGAGAATTTTTGTTTCTTAATCTGAGAAAGTTTTTTTTTTCTTTTAACAAGAAAGGGTTTATTGTAATTTCCCCTCTAAGTTAAAGTAAAATTCTTTTTCCTTTCTTCTTTTCCACTTTCAATTTCATTTTAGAAAACATCCCTGCTTTGCCTCATACAAATGGTGCCCTATATTCAAGGAGGCACTGTGGATGATTTGAGGAAACTCCGCTGCTTCAAAGTAGACATTAAAATATATCTCCCTTGTGAACCTTTCTTGCAGATGCCCCTCCAGCCCCGCTGCTGGAAGTGGATCCATTGTCCCAGAGGGTGAAGGAAGGTGACCCCTTGGTCTTCCTCTGCTCAATGGAAGGAGGAGACCGAGAGAAGAGGTTCCACTTCTACAAGGATGGAGTGGAGATCATCTCCGGCGAAGAAGAACTTCTGGAACCCTCCACTGACCCCACAAACCCTCTTCAAAATGCCCATCTGAGAATCCCTCATGCCTCGATCAAACACAGTGGGGAATTTTCTTGCAGTTATGAAGAGAAGAGAAGCAACCGATGGGTCTCGTCTTCTTGGAGCCAGGGGAAGAAGGTCACAGTTGAGCCAGGTAGGAGGAGATTTGGATGTGGCTAAACCTTGAGATCACCATGAAAGGCTAAACTAGGAAAGGCAAAGAAAGTCCCGGAGAAAAGGAAGTGTCTTTTTGTGGGATTATTAACTAGCTCCACAGAGAGGTCCATGGAAAATCCAGAAAGTGAGCTTGATTAAAAGGGGTCTGTTTCATTTTCAGATTTAACAGAGTCTTTTCTATACTATCAGAAAAGAGCAGATTGAGATATTCTGTCAAGAAATACTAAATCATGTTTCTTCTTACTTATTGAAACCAATTGGTACCCAAGATTCAGATCTTGTATGGAGATATTCCTGGATGGCG